ATTAGAGATATCACTCTGTGCAAATAGAGTACTGACTTTATCGTGTTAGTGAGCCTCTCGTAATGAGCTCGCTTCTAACGGGGCCCATCTTCCCACCAGCAGCTGAAAAATTAGCAATAACTAGAACTCATAGTGCTTAGTTATCTGCACAATAATCCAGCTCTGGGTCTGCTCCGACTTGGAAAGAAATTTCAGCTTTTGGAGTCGGAGCCTGCATAAAATTAAATAGCAAGCTGGAGATGATCTGATGTACTCTGAACAGCTGTTGGAGGGCTCCACATTTCTGTTTCGTCGTTGCACAGAAGAGGTAACGGGTTCCTTTTTACAAGGCTGTATCCATGCAAAGGCCCCACTGCACTAACTGAACTTCTAGTCTGTTTTGCTTCTGTGTTCATAAACTGTAAGTCTTATACTGCAAATAAATAAATAAATAAATAAATACTGTAAAAAAAATACCGTTAGGTTTTGGTAGAAGATTGCAAACAAGTTAACCACAACAAAACAAATATTTTGAGAAGATAAGGCTGCAGGAGGATAAGAATTTGCATCTGATGTGCTAATTATGTTAAAGGAAACTCACCTTGCTGGTTTGTAGCAAGTAAGTGAACATTCTAGCATACCATGTCATGGATATTAATGAACTGCTACGATAGCAAAACCCAAATTGATCCAGGGCATCTGTCTATTACTCAAACCAGAATGACAAGTAATTAATAAATGAGCACTGTATATGACCTAATCACTATGGTAATGCTACTGCATATTACATTTCTGGTACAAATACACTCTAGCTTCAGAGGAGTATTAAAGAGCTTTAAAATCTGTGGATTGAAAGACTAACTAGACTACAAAGGGTGATATTACTACATTTGTAATATTTTTGTGTGCGGTTTGAAACAAAACTTGAATTCTGCCTCTGAGCAATAAAAAAGTTCTTTGATAACATCATAACTGGCACAAGATTTCGTTATAAAAAGCCCCAAAGCGGCAGAGTTCACTTCCGTGGCTGCTGCCTGATTTGTTTTATTTGCTAATCTTTCATCAGAAATGTACAAACAGTTCACAGACTTCACCTGGATAATCAATGGGTAACCCTTTTTCTGTCATGCTTCCCTGCCCACCGGTCAGTCCGTATAAACATTTCCACTGTAACAACTGCTCAAACTTGGAGTGCATCTTAAGGCTGCAATATCACCACTTGCTAGGATCTAAAGAGAAGTCTACATCAGTCGACAGCAAAATCAATGCTCACCCGATTACAGATATTTTTCAAAAATATTGCAGGCTCAGTTCATTCATCTTTTATGTCGGTTTTCCACTTTGGGCCAAATACCAGCAAAGCTGCTTCTGCAGCATGATGGATCTTAGTGGAACACAGGATCTACTTTCACGACTGCCATATAGATACTCCGATGCTCTCTAAGCCCACCTGGCTATCTGGGGCACATTTTCTATCTTTCCCCTAAAAACTGGGATATTGAAAGAGATGTGAGGAGGGAAGAGCCTTCACCTGCCTCTCAACAGGAGATGCAAGGGAGGAAACAACCCCCGGGCTCAGAGCTCTGAGAAACTTTGCCATCTAGACCAGGAGAATTTTTCCAAACACATGAACATTTTTCTCCACAATTCTCCTATTTTGTGGAGCATGAAGGTGAGATTCCTATACCTCTGGTTCTTTCAAACTGTCCTCCTTCAGAAGTAAGTTTATATATAACCAGGGTTCTTCTACGCTCCCCTACATGTTCACAAACACTCCGCTCTTCAGGAAACCTGGGTAACACTCCCCATGTATCTGCTCCATTCTTTTACTGAGACCTTCCTTTGACGACCGTGCCCAGCGACCGGGTTTGTCGAGGGCTTTCTCCTTTACAGCCGGCCACAGGGCTGCTTCTTCCTGCCAGGTCGACAAAGAGCTCTTTTTCCCTTTCTGTTTAACCAGTAATCCTAACCGGCCTCACTCCCAAAGCCGGCACAGCTAAGCGATGCAGAATGAAGCGCTGGCCAGACGGCAACTACCGTGAAGCCTCCGAAATCGGGTATGCCTCGGGAGCGCTTGGCTGGCGTGGAGCGAAAGGGAGCCCTGCTCCACGAACGCCAGAGCAGCGACCACGGGCAAATATCCTTGTGCCACCCCGGCCTCCGT